GTTCAAGACTAGCCTGGCCAACATGACGAAACCCCATCTCTACAAAAAATACAAAAATTAGCCAGGCGTGGTGGTGCATGCCTGTAATCCCAGCTACTTCAGAGGCTGAGGCATGAGAATCACTTGAACCCAGGAGGCAGAGGGTGCAGTGAACTGAAATGGCATCACTGCACTACAGCCTTGGCAAGAGAGGAAGAATCTGTCTCAAAAACAGGGTGGGGGGGGGCGCGGGGAGAAAGGAAAGAAAGAAAGTAAGAACACTATACTTCTGAAAATATATTTGAGTATTCTTATTCAGGATGAAACTGAACAAGACACTGACTGTCTTTTTGAAAACAAGTGGCTTGCGGTTAAAACTAAAATCTATCTTCAGATGTAGCAGCAGTAAAACAAACAAACAGAAAAAGAAACAAAAAACAAGTTAAAGTCTGTTCCTTATTTCTTTCCAGAATAATTTTTACACAACTTTACATCCATTCAGAAACTGCCAAATGGTACAACACCTATGGATGGGAATTTATAATATCCAGCAAAATTAAACGTACATTTGTCCTCTAACCTAAAATCCAGTATTAAAGGTTTAACCTGATAATACACTTATAAAAATGTTAACTACATATAAAGAAGTTCATTTACTGCAGGTTACTCATGGATGCTAAAATAATTAGTAGAAAGGTTGCTGGGGAACAAGATATTCCAGGTATCCTGCAAGGGATGGTGGCTCATGCCTGTAATCCCAACATTTTCTGAGGTCGAGGTGGGAGGATCACTTGAGCCCAGTAGTTCAAAGCTGCAGTGAGCTAGGATTGTGACACTGCACTCCACCCTGGGTGACAGAATGAGACTCAAAAAAAAACCCAAAAAAAAACCCACAAATATATATATACAAATATAGAGTTATAGCGATCTCTTTCTCTCTACATATCTATGTGATAGATACATTCTCATATAAATATACAATATATATGTGATATATATATTCCCTGGGTGTCAAAAATACAAAACTCCCCATCATTACTCTCTTTTGTGCTGATGACATGTAATAAAAGGTCTGGAGGGAGGCATAGTCTCACAACGAGTGCTCGAACCTCAATCAGCTCCCACGAAAAGGATCTGGGGCCTACTTCACTTTCTTAAATCCTCACGGACAAGGCTCTCTTTAAAA